AAACGGTAAAACATACTAATGTGTTAGTGCCATTAGTGAGAGATGAACTGTAGCCTGTCAGCCCCAAACAGCCAAGATTGTAGCTGCTAATCTTTGGTTTCTATGCTTGGCTATGTAGGGATTCACCAACCGAGTATGATTGATGTTCAGTTCTGAATACGAATCAAAGAAATGTTTTCTCTGGGTTTGGGTCATGCAGCAGCTGGTCTGCAGTCAGAGCTGATTATAACACTACAGAGTCGGTCCATGGTCCTAAAATTGGTGGGGTAAAAATTCTTTAGCAGTTCAGTGTGATCAGTCATGTAACTGAAATATTCTGCACTTACAGACTTTGACTTTACTTCACCTGTCCTCTCCATTTCCCCTCATCCTTTTCTACTGCCCCCCTGACTGTTTTGTTTCTTTTCCCACCGTTTTCATTCCCAAGCCATTTTGACAGCACATGCAGCTTTCATCACTTGGAGGGGACTATTTTAAAAGCTATAGTATGCAACTTTTCTACAACAAAATATATTTGAAAATCTGCTCCAAAACATGTCTTAATGTGAAGAGGTGCAGTCAAAGCCTTCTGTGACCCAGGCTCCATGAACAGCACTGGCAGCAGTGCAGAGATATTGGCTTCTAAATGGTTTTGAGTGGGATTGACCTCTCTGATCAATCTGAGATTTGATTGTTTCTGCTTGACCAGTAAGTTTTGTTGCATTCTCATTTATTGCAGTTTCATAATGAAAAATGTCTGAAGAGCTGGGCAGAGTGTGATGGAGCGTAGCAGATCGTAGAGGAGCAGGGAGAGGGGGCGCTGGGCAGAGCAGAATGGAGTGATTTTGAGTTTCATACTAGTGTTACTTTAGGTTATACACTGTAGCTTTAAGCAAACAGAGATGTGCAGCACCAACATCGGAGGCAAGTGTGCAAGTTAACTTTATATGAAGTAGCTAACTGGCCAACTAACAGGTCTAGTTAGATAGCTAACAGCTAATTTGTGAAGCATGAGCTACAGAATATTAGGCTACCAACTAAAGGTTGACTAACCATGAACAATTCAAATAGACTACCTTGCTGAACCTGCTGCCACCACAGTCCAACTCTGGATTAACAGCAGAAAACTGAAGGAAACACTGAATTCTACCTAAAAAAAACAAACTTGGTTTGTGAAAAGAATCTGAGGAAAGAATCTAAGAAAACTTTTACCAGCTGTTGGACTTTAAAGTAGCACTGCCTGTCATCTACTAACCATAGATGCTGTTGTATTCTTGATGTCAACAGTCCAAGCCTTGTTTTGATTTGCCTTTGTCTGCCTGGTGAATCAGTCATCCATAGCATCTGCCTCCATGTGAGTTTGGCTGCCTGCATGCTTGGCTGGGTAAATAGCAGCTTGAGGGGCAGGATGGGAGGGGAGGCCGGGCAGCCGGCTGACTGCCTGAAACCACTGCATTTTGTCAAATTCAGTTACTGAAATTGTGGCACTTTAAAACACTGCTACAGTAGGACATAGAACAGTGGCTGTGAGATGAAAGGAACTGATAGATGGTGGATACGTCCTGACAAAACTGTGCATGCAAAACAATACGTGGAGTCTAAGAAGTGCAGTGTTCCTGTAAATGTTGTTACAGTATAAAAACCATCTGAGGGCGAAATAGAAATGTGACTAAGTCAATGATTTACTTAAGTAAATCAACTGCTCCAACACCAACTACTTTGTTCCCAATAAAACAAAGAAAATGCTCCTACTGTAACATGGATCCATAGAAGCTAGAAATGATCGTATTTTTTATTTAAAAGGCCCCAAAGAAACCCATTAAACAAATTGCTGCACATACAGAGGGAATACCTGCATGGGGAAAATACAAAATGAATCCTTGTTTACTGAATCTTGATGCTGGTTTTTTAATCACACTGGTTTTTTAATCACACAGTTCTACAGGACTTGATTACACTGCAGGTGTACCTTCTATTCATAACTGGAGAAACAGCCTCACACATCACCTCTGATTTCATGCACTTTAAGGCCAGGAATATTAAGACGCTGTGATTCATATTTGCACAAGACTGGTATCATGTAAGTTAGAATACCAATTGTCATACATTTTCACAGTGGCCTTCTTCTCATTTGTCTTACACACACACACACATCCACACCAACAACCGAACACTAAATACATCCCACCCAGCATTATGGGGAACCCTGCCAAGTGTCTGTCCACCCCCAACTCTACAGTATTGTATTGAAGCCACTGTCATATTATTGTTGTACAAATAGTTTTGCCCACAGGGATCAATTTGTCCCACCAGACCAGAGTATCATTTTCTCACACGCTCAAAGTTAATCACAACAGCATTATTTTATTGTTCCTTGATTGACCCGGTGGTCATTCCAGTCCACCATGATGAAGGATGTCCCAAAGCTCTTATGTCTGCTCTGAGGACCAAGGAGGCAGCATGGAGGAGCTGTTACATATTGACCCCTTTATCAGAAATCAGTTTGTGTCTGGATGCTTCTCATGAAGGATCACATCATGTCAGTTAAAATGCATCTACTCATTCCTCTCTCCTTGCGTCTAGTCCCACCCACGTAAGATACAAGGAAAAGATGCAAGTGAGGGACAAGTGGATGGAATTCAGGGAATTGGGAATTACCTAGTGACTTCTCTAAATGTTGTGTAGAAAGCTCTAAGTGAGCCGTCATATGGCTTCTGTCTATTGACCCACGAACATAACTGCTGAGCAGGCATCACCTGAGAAATGAACATAACAGGAGGGTTCCCTCCTGTTATGTTCATTTCTTCATATCAAATATTTGTCTCATTTAAAGCAGTTATGTTCGTGGGTCAATTTGACCCGCAACATAATTAAGGCCTGACTGATGGAGAGTCACTGAGAGGACCATTTTTCCAGCAGGTTCTCCCAACCCTGCTGAGGACCTCTGCAGCTCTGCTGAGATCTTGATCACCCTCATAAAAAAGGCTCTTCTTACATAGTTACACATTTTGACCATACTGCTAATTATTCAGGCCACTGAAACATGCAGAGGTTGGTCAATCTGACCTGTGACGCAGTGGAGGGCCTGTCTGAACAAACACCCGCCACATCATTCAT